AAAATGTTATATAGTAAAAATAACATAAAATATAAAAAATATTTTTACACGTGAAAATTGTATTAATAAATTAATATTTCCAATTATTAATTATTTCTTATGAATAATAACCTCTTGTTATGAATAAATTATAAAAAACATTATAATAATTGAGATACCTGATTAGCGGATGCATTAGATTGATGAAAAAAATTCGTCCTTATCGATGTGAAAAGAAACCACGAGAAAAAATTATTCTGCCGCAGTTATATCGCAAGCCGACGGCAACGCCGATAGACGCTCGCGATTATCCTCAATCGACGGCTATCCGCATCGGTTCTCCGTCGCGAGCTCCCGCTCGAGGCCAGTACGGACCCAACGGGCCTACGCAAGAGGAACTCGAGGAGGAGAAGGAGGAGCCCGATCGTCTCAGTCTTCTTCTACCCCAGAGCAGATTCGATTGCGTCAACAAGCAAACCGGCTACTATGCTGACGAGGATCTCAACTGCGAGGTCTTCCATTATTGCCAAGACAACGCCAAGCACTCTTGGATCTGTCCTGAGGGTTTCACCTTCCACCAAGTTAGTAAAAACACATATGTCCTTCTTTATCTAATTTTTTACTAGTGTCTCGATATTTCTTGATATCTTATTAGATCACTGAAAAATATTGCGTCATTGATAAAATTACAATAGATGTACTCCTAGATACTTCAGATGGTAGAAAGTTATTAGTAATGCCTCTCATCGCAATTTGCTGTTATATTTATTTTATATACACTTGTCTTTTTTTAATGACACATACTGATAAATATCATTACAAGTTGTGATGCAAAATGCTCAAATGCTTATCTACACAACTTGTATCTTCTTGAATATCTAAACTTGTATCTAATTGATGGAACTAAAACATACCGATTGTATAGGTGCATTTAATCTGCATGCCACCCAGCGGCGACATCAGTTGTAAGAAGAGTTCGCAATATCATTTTGTCAATGAGTATCTATACAAGCCGCTGAATCTCCAAGAGGCCGAAAGCAAGCCCAATGTTACCCTGAGGTACAGCGAAAGGTATTACCCCTCTGATATTTACACGGATCAAAGAGAGGTCGGTGACTATCAGATCACTCCTACGGCTGCTCCCACGCGTCGTCCTGCCCCACAGGTATAATCATCGTCATTGAATTGTCATAATCATTCCGAAGCTCGTACTTAAACCCTAAGAACTGAAAGTTACAAGACCTATTTAAATTCCATATTTGTAGCCACATTTCTTTGACATGGAAGCGACAAAACCTTGACCCTTTTTTAGAAAAATTTAATATTTAATCATGTAAATTTTTTTATATTTGATATATTTTTAAAATTCATTATTCAGAGTATTCGCACCAAAACTAAGCATTTTACAAAAATCTTCCAGATACATTGAATTTTTTATAATTCCAAATTTTCAAGATTTTCCTGCGGGATTTCTGAATTGCACGCGATAAAAATTCGGATTCTTTTATTTCTATTTATTTATGCAAAAATACGAATATGTGATGTATTTACTCCTCTTAAAATCGACCGTACATTGACACGTTAACAATTAGGTCTTGTACAGGTCCTTGTAAGTCCGCAGTCTCAAAGTTTGAACAGCATTCCTACATCGGTTCGTCCACAGCCCACAGGAGTGCCGCAGTTTCGTCTCCCGGTGAACCAGGTATTCCACAGCCCCGAAGAAGTCAACATCCCCCTTCAGCATAGGCGACCGCAGCCGCAACAGCAGCAGCATCAAGTTCTCAGACGATATCCTCAAATTCAATCCGACGAGGAGGACTACGAATAGATTCTTATTGTTAGAAATCTTTAGCTCTCTATGAATTCAACTCATTCATTCGAATTTTTAGATTCTTCACGATTCTCTCATTAATCACCAACGATATTCGAAACACATCTCTCGAATCATCTGATATTTTTTTCAATTCCTTTCGCGCGAAATCGACTAAAGATCACGAAATTCAAGATACTATAGAATTTTTGAATTATTGGGCGGCGTTCAGCGGAGAAAACCGCTCAGTAGCAATCGAACGCGATTGGCTCTTACTTTTGAAACCAACAAATCAACATCGAGTGTTGACAAGACGATAACTGAGCGACATGCGCCATGCGCTGCCGCGTCCTGCGTGCAGGAGCCATTAGGGCGCGATTTCACTTAACGTTTGTCGACGTTGTCGGATGCGGTGATTGGCTATCAGATAGAGATTTCTTAGAATCTCGATAGAGATTCTAGAAATTCTCGATTCGATAGCCAATCACCGCATCCGACAACGACTGCGATCCGATACTTTCTGCCGATATTGAAAACCTATAGTTTACGCCACTATAAATTTTCAATACTGGCAGTAGATATCGGAACACAGCCAACGTTAGAGACTTGTAAAGAAAAAAAAAGCGAGAGAAACTGGTTGCAAGATAAAAAAACGCGTAAAAATTGATTTATTTAAAGTATCGTTAAATTAATGATAATACGCCGATAATCAGCACGTCTTCTTTCTAATTAACTGCTAATTAAAGCTAATTTAATTATTGTAAATAATAAACGATCAATAATAATTAAACGATACGCTAAGTTTGCTTGTATTCGTAGTATGTAATTGACTTTAAGAATTGATAAGTGAGAGGATAGCCAATAAAATGTTGTTGCGTTATTTTTAATCGCGTTCATGATTTGAAATAATTATGTATCGAGCGACCTCATAATTGTAATCGATTTCTATCCGCAAATTATTCCAAGAAACATCGTAAATGCTTAAAACCTAATCAAATTTATTTATTATAATTTTGGTATATATAAATTAATTTAACATGTATATATTAGAACTTGAGCGTTACTTTTTCACTCATAATTTTGATAAAACCAACCTTGCTATGAAGTACAAGCGTCTTGTTGCTATTGTGACAAACGTTTCACATATCTGTCGCCAATTTTGCTCCAGTTTTGACTTCCGCGCTCAAAGCGCTGATCAACACGGCTTCAGCGTTTCCGCAATTCTGCGTCTCCAATGCATGTTGTTTTGTTTCCTCTTGCAGTTATCCTGAGAATCCTTCGGCGATATCATTGCCTCCGAATCCTCGTCGTTTGCCGTGGATTTCTCGTTCAAATATATCTCCGCCACCTGCTGCGTAGTGTGCTTCTTGATCGTGGAGACGCAATTAGATTCTCGAAGACAAACTGCGTCATTCTCCCTACAGGTATTACAATTTTCTCCTCCTTCGCGAGCCTTCTCGTCTCTTCTCACCGTTTCGTCCTCCTCCAGATTGCCTTTCTCCTCATCGTCATATCTCGCAATCTTCTCCTCGTAGACGTTAGCGAGATCGTTTCGCGAAGATGTGGCCGTGTTGGAATCGTGGTTCTCTTGCGGCGTGAGTTTATTGTTGGGATAAGAGTTCACTCTGGAATTCCTATCCTTGAGGCAACTGCGCACAAAATAATTGTGGCTGCTGGCGCTCTGCGGGTACAACTTCTCCTCGATTCGACAGTTAATCACTACAGCCTCGGCGATTGGGATTGGTACCGTATACGTGAACGTCTTCTTGTCGGTCCTGTCCTCGAGTCGCCTAATGTTGATAGGTCCGTTGATCACCGGCACCGCGTTGCTCACCTCACTAGTGGTCTTTATTATAGGCGTGATATTGCCCATGGAATCCAGCCGGGAGTTGATCTGATCAACGTGGGAACACGGAAACGTCGCGGTGACCTTGCCGGGACTTTTCGGTTGCGTTCTCCTCGGCTGTTTCTGTCTCGGTCGTTGCTGATTGTTCTTCGTCGAGCAGCTTCGCGAGTCCGCTTCGACGACCGGCGTTTCGCGTGTCTCGCAGCCAAAATCCTCGGTATGATGGTGCCTGATGTGCCGGTTCAGGTTGTCCTTGCGTCTGAATGGCGTCTGGCAGTACTCACAGGAGAACGGCTTCTCGTCTAGAAAAAGTAAGCAATCTAAAAGATTCGGGAACCCTCATCGGCGTGTAAGAATATTCACATGATACTTAACGCACCTGAATGTACAGTTAAGTGTCGTCTCAATTCGCTCTTGGACAAAAAAACTTTGTTGCAATGAGCGCAAGAGAACGGCCTCTCTCTCTCGTGAGTCCGTTTGTGTCGTTTCAGCAGNNNNCAGGAATCGATCCTTGAAACTCTTGTTGCACTCGTCGCACATATGCGGTCGTTCGCCTATGATAGTAATAATCATTTACTCGTTATTTTTCTCATTTGCAGATTCTTTGGAAAATCAAACTTTTTGTCAATGTTTTACTGAGATTTTAAAAAATATATCTGCTAAAGTATAATTCGACGAGAAACAATATTTTCTCCACTTACTTGTATGCGTTCGCATGTGACGTTTCAGATTAGTTAATATGCGGAAAGATTTGTCACAGGACTTGCATTTATACGTTGCCGTCGTGTTGTGCACATTTAGATGATTCTTCAAATCATCTCGTTTGCTATATCGTTTGTTGCATTCAGGACATACAAACTGTTTCTCCTCTAAAATATTAGAATTGTAGTCACATAAATATATACAGAGTATGTATCATATATTTTCTTACAATTCTTTTAAAAAAATAGCTTATAATTTTTATAATAACTTTCCTAAGTTTATTTTAATTATTTAATATCGTTATACGAGGGCTGTCCATAAAGAAACCGAAAAAGCGCCCCAAACGCCGAACACAATCTCATTCAAACCACCATAAAACGTAAATTAAGAACAACAGCATCATGCTCATGGTGTGAGAGAGTTGCTAAAGAACTCCGCTACACAGTGCCATAATGGCAGATGACCCCATGCCATCGCATTCGGGCGTTCTTTTTCTTTTTAAGTTCGGTTTCTTTATGGACAGCCCTCATACATCACACAGAGAGATTAATTTCAAAGTATGCTTACTGCTGTGGGAAAACATGTGCCTGTTGAGTTTGTTTTGCTGGGGGAAAGCTTTTTCGCAGAGGTTGCACTTGTATGGTCTATGTCCTTTATGAACCCTTTCATGATACTCGAAGTGAGAGCGTTTGACAAAGCTCTTGTCACAGAAGGTACATTGATACGGCTTAACGCCTGTTACACAGGCGTCATGATAGCACTTGCCTTTCTTGTTACGAAAAATCTTACTGCATACATTACACTTATATTTTTCTGGGACGCCCGGTATTATTGTTATATGACTGCGATCACGGCACTTGATGTTCTTACTCTTCTCCAGGGTTTCTTCAAGCTTTTCTTCTGCCTGATTACACTGAAAAAACAGAAATATATGTTCCATCAGTTAGCGCAATAAGCAATCATCGTTTTCTCTCATCAACAATTGTTTTTCAATCTTAGCTTTTAATTTCTTATATGTGTAGTAATGAAAGTTAGTAATTTAAATTTAACAACCTTTTTATTAAATCAATATAATGATAAAGTTGAACATTATATATATAATGATAAATATATATAAATAAAAATTGTATTGGAATCTATGTTTCCTTACACAAGGATTTTGCAAACCCGCAGAATTGTGATCATCTCCATTTTTTAAATGGGAATGAATGTCCAATACTATGTCACGAGTTTCTATCTTGGGAATGTATAACGTGTTGGAATCATTATTGGTAATTGTATCATTTGTAGCAAACTTGTAGGCTCCATCTTTATCAAAAGTGACATTTTCATAATGAAGATCCGACGATCTGCGCTCGGTGGAAGTGGGGTCAAGATGACTCTCTTTAGACTTGGAATCCTTGTTGATGACTAGCTCTAATGGCAATACAATCTCCTCACTGGACGATTTGTGTGTATCATTTGAGTCTCCATTTGTGGAACATAGTTTTTCTGCAATACATTAAACTTATTACAAAAAGAAACGACTCAAAAGATCAGATTAGAAAAATCTGACAAAGACAAAATTCCAGGAAAACCTATATACCTAAATAATCTTGAATACCTTGAGCATGATGTTTGGCTTGACAAATTTTGCAACCATGCTCCTCATATAACAAGCACATTCGACATTTAGTGTGGCCGCAGCTATCCTTGACGAGTCTTGAGAAAGACGCGTTTGTAAGTTGTCCACAATTTGGACATTCTTCGCTCATTGTAAGGCATTTTCTGAATTCCTTGGGAAATATCATACCCTGTTTTCCGCATGCTATTCGATGGCTTGTATAATCCTTGGTTATATAAATCTAAAAAAAAAAACAAAGATATTTATTATACATCAAATTATTTAAGCATACTATAAAATGCAATAAAGAGATTCTAAAAATAGTAAACTACAATGGATGCATAATGATCTAGTCACATAACTATTCTTTAATAACTTGATAAAATCCATCCAAATCTTACTTACAAACTGCTCATTGATGTCAAAAGTATTACATTGAAATTACATTGTTTCATTTCTCTGATTATGTTCCTGAAAAAATTTTAGCAACAATTTACTTATTGCAAATATTGTGTATATTTCTGCATTATTTCCACCATCTGAGTGATTTTTTTAATTAACAATTAAATAAATAATAATTATCTTTAATACATAATATACATGTAATATTTTATATATAATAATTTATTTNNTTTATATATAATAATTTATTTATATTTGTATCTTTCTCATATTAATTACAGTCTAATCTTCCAAAAACTGCTTTTACTTTTACAGTTTTTAAAAAATTCCATAAAGTTATTCTACAATATCACATTTCTTCATCAGCTACAAAAAAGATAACATACGTATATATACAAACTTTTCAGCATTGCGTTTTCTGCACTTAGGGTGCAACGCGCAATGTGCAGCGTGCAGCTCGAGATGCAGGAAGCAGCCAATAGCCAATTGCGTTCCAAAATTCACTTTTTGCAGTAGAATAGAGATTTAATTAACCAATCAGGACAAAAGAAACAAAAAAAAAAAAATTCCTTTGTTCTGATTGGTCAATCAAACGATTCGAAATTATTGTAATGTTAAACGAAGCGTTTAATGCATCCGAATATTATGGGAAAATAAGAATATTGAAAATAAGAATTAACTCATTTATTTACATTTAAATAATTACTTTCTTGTCTAGCCTGCCTGAAAAGTCCCGTAACTTTGGTGACTGTAATACAATACTTCGCATACATCACCGCGCATGCGCCAAGAAACCGCGCGCTTATCTAACAAAATACTAATAATAAACAATGAAACTTATTCCTTCTTTTTTGGTCGAACAGGCGAATAACGGACTCCGATAGGAGAATATGCGGTCAAAAACAACAGGTATAAATTGATTTCAACAAATTGAAGTATTCTTCTTGAATTTTAGGATTAAAAATTCGAAAGTTTGGATCGACCAAAGGACACATGCGAGAAGCGGGAACCGGGAACAAAGACCACGTTTCAAGTTTCAACACGTTCATTTCAGCTCACGGAGTTGAACAACGACATCACCAACGACGTTATTTCGCAAAGGAGAAATCACGCGGCGCATCTACACAAAACGAGGTACGCTCGTTTATTTTATATATACTTTTATTTATCGTGGGAACACAAAGTCAAACAGCACACGTGTATAATGCAACTTCACCGAAGATAACTAATGCGTATATCAAATCGGAAATTGTGATGACATTTTTCGTTTAATGTTCGATATATATCGACTAGATTGTAAATAATTATTTTATTTTATATATACTGATATATTTGACGAGTTTTATTCTGAACTTACACATATACACATGTATAATATGTTTCATATCTATCGCATCTTTTATGTATATGAACATAACACATATCTTTTCAGGAATTGTTTCGTTTAAACGACGTTGCTGAAGCAGCCGATGCAAAATTACTTTGTCATTATGTCTACAAAGCCATCGGAAGAATTGCCCTCTTGTTCAAAGAAGGCAAATAATCAGAAGAAAAAAAGCTTAATGACAAATATTAATGAAGAACAGTAAGTTTGATTTCTTATCTCATCTATTTACTGTAAGCTTGATCTTTTCTCTTTTTATTTATCCTATTTTTTCTGTAAAGAATATATTGTTACCGAGCAACTTTTCTATGTAAAAATAATATCACGTGTATCTATTAATCGATTTGTTGCAAAATTAATATTACTAATTAAAAAACTTGATGCATTGACAGAAATGTACAAAGGAAAAAAAGGAAATATTTTGACAGTTAGGAACTGGCGTATTTTTAATTTTCTGCGTGCGGAATTTGCCTCACAGATTCATATGATTATGGCATTTGGTGATGGTAATTTATTATTTCTTTATCTAACACTTCTTTCTTAAAATCGTTATTTATGTTTCGCTACATTGAACTAGATGCAGCTTTGATTGTGACAAAGGACAGAATGGTATACGGCCTGGGTAATAATTGCAACAGTCGATTGGGAATTGGTGATGTTGCTAACACTCTCCGACCCATAAAAGTGGAAGCTCTGTGTGGAAAAAATATAAAGACCTTCTGCTGTAATAATTGTATGACATGTATCTTTGCGCTTACTGAGGAAGGAGAGGTACAATAAAAATGTATATTATAGTCAAAATATTTAATTTAATTTAATTTTAAAGAAACTCACAAATGATTATTAAGTATATATGATTTTTTAAATTCTTGAATTAAACTAACTAGTGAATGTATAATTTAACAAAAAAATGAGATTTACTATACATAATTTTCTAGACTTTATATGTTTACTGTGGTGAGAAAAACAAAATAGTTAACTTGTTAATTTTATATGTTTACTTTCATAATAATGTATGTTTTTAATATTTGTAACTTCAATGTATTTATATTTTACAAGGGATACTTTATTCATAATAAGATAAATAAGATATCAAAATCTATAAAATAGCACTATCTTTTGAAGGTATATTCATGGGGTTTTAATGGAGGTCATGGATTGGGACAAGGATTAGATGAACCTGGGATAGTGCGCACTCCCACTCGAGTGGTCACATTAAGCGAGGAACGTATTGTAGACATTGCATGTAGCAATGATCATTCCCTCGCTTTGACTGAGACTGGAAAAGTAAATGATAATCGAAATATAAGTGATATCGTGATCGTAATATAATGATAATCCCGATTTTTAAATCTAATTTTTTAAATTAACAATTGTTTAATTTAGATGTATACTTGGGGGAATAATAAATATTCGGCAACATTCTGTAATGGGCTCGTCAAGGATTTACCATGGCAGGTAAAATACGAAGAGAAGATTGTCCGTATCGCTTGCGGTTTATTTTTTAATGTGGCAATTACAGATAGTGGTAAAATCTGTAGTTGGGGCATAAATGATCATGGCCAGTTAGGGATAGACAAATGCCAGAAAGAGACAAATCCAGGTATAATGGTTTCACCGAAAGATATCACAATAGGTAATTAAATGTTTTTGTAGTCTTTTGTAAAAATGTCAAATGTATTGATGCAGGTGCCAACAACAATTACTGATTAATAATGTTTTTAATTAATTTAATGTTTAATTTTTCATTACCAGTTAAAATAGTCTGTGGATCCGCACACACATTGGCACTCACTAGAAGCGGAACGATCTATTCGTGGGGTAGAAACAATGTGGGACAACTAGGACGTGGCAGAAAAACGGAAAAGGAAGTGATGTCTACCTTGGTATCATCATTTTCCTATGTAATTGTCATGACAAATAAAACCAAAAAAATTTTAAGGACAAATATAGAAAAGATTAAAATATTTTTTATTAGTTGAAGGTATCTGGAATGGGAAAAGTGTTGGACATTGCTGCTCGGCACAACGGAAGTTTAGCTGTCGATGAAAATAGACGTGTCTATATATGGGGTCAATGCTTTAATGAGGAAATTACAATCCCAACTGTCACCACTTTTTCGAACATGTATGATGTATTCTCATATAATATACCATATATCATCCACAAACCGCTAAGTAATCCTACTCAAGAAAAATCAAATATATTGGAGTGCCTAGGAAAAGTGTTTGATGATCAGGTATGTCTCATCTTCTATCTCATATCTGTTCATTCTGCATGCAATATTTCTCCTCTATAAGATGAAAAACAATAAATCAAGGTTTTATAGGTAGTAAGAGATAATAAAGAAATAACTATACTTTGATTAATAAATATTATTTCAAAACCATTATAGCATATCTTGTTTTTGACTATTCGAGACAAATGTTTACATGTTAATATTTAATATATATAATGTCTAGTAGTTTCATTATGTCTTTCTCTCTTTTGATGCAGTCGACGAGCGATTTTACGATAAAAGTCCAAGGAAAACCTATCCATGTTCATAAAGCTATTTTAAATATTCGTTGTCAACATTTTAAAAACATGTTTCACTATAATTGGTTGGTACATGGACAAAGGTAAGCATTTATGAAAAAGCCAATTATATTTCTATTCAGATTTTTTTAAATTTATTTTATTGCTCATTAACACATATGTTTTTAATAGCATCATTAGCGATTCTGTTATACTCGTGCACGATCTATTCTCCTATAATGTATATAAAGCTTTTTTGAGATACTTATACACGGGTGTAATTGATCTGCCTCTAGAGGAAACGTTAGGTGAGTTTGAATTAAATAAGTTAAAAATTATACTCTTGGTAATAATTTACAACTAAAGTAACGTCTTGTTACAGATCTCATAAAATTAGCCGATTCATACGATGAGAAAAATCTAAAAAGAGATTGCATTCAGACGATAAAAAAAAGAATTACTCTAGCAAATGTAGTTTCCTTTTACTATAAGGCGATTGAATATAAGGCAAAGGTGACTATTACAATGTTTAGTAGAATCATTTCTCATCAAAATTTATCAAGTACAATCTAATATATGTGTGCATATATGTATATCACATGATTTTAGGAGGTGAAGGAATTCTGCTTCAAGTTTGCACAGGATCATATGATGGATGTGGAACAAGCGGAAAATTTCACTAGATTGGACGAGAATATAGAATCCGATGTTAAAACTGAAGTAGCCGACATATAATTAGAGAAGCCTATGTTTACAAGACTAATTCGTTAATTTTTATAAGATTTAGATTGACACAGAAATGTAATGAAATCTTTTTTTTTTTTTTCTTTGGATTAAGCCGAATTCGTTACAGTGACAAAAATATTTTATTTGCTTCGTTTATCGTTCCTAATTTACATAGTATAATTTACAATATATATGTGAATGTTACATACCTCGTTTCAATTGTTCAATTTTATTTATCTACTAGAATTTTTTTATAATATTCATATAACCCTAAAATTTAATTATCAGAGTTGTACAGCTATGATAAAACCACATAAGTTTATCTCAGATTGATATCTTTTCACATATACCTTTGCTAAATGTCTATATATTGTATATAACATACTTTATATGCTTCACACACAAGGTTAAAATTAGTAAAATTATAATTAGATGTGTATATAAGTTCCATTAAAACAGATTTTAGGTACATGGAGTTTGCTCTAGACATGTGTTTTTGGGGGTTATCTATAGGTTTGTTCTTTGTAACTGAACTGACTGCACTAGTTTGGAGTTTATCTTTCTCCTTTCAATGTGGAGACAAAAAGATAAACTAAACTAATGCAGCCAGTTCATCTGTAAACAACAGACCTTATATCGTCACGCATCTGCGCTGACAAAAGAAAGACGAGAGGTAAATTGATAATTTATATTATTATAAGATATATTACAATAGAGAAGACTTAATCGTGTGTATATTTAAAGCTTTTCTCGTTCTAATTGGTCAATTAGATGCTATTCTGTCATGTGAGCGGATTTTCGAACACAACCCTACGAGTGAGCAGGGCGCGCTTCGAACGCCATTCGTCTGTCGGTGCGCATGCGCGCTGCTTCAAACGCCATTCGTTCGTTGGCTCGCCGCGCAGCGGCGCAGCGCACATTCAGATTCAGACGTTCAGTGACGCGTGAACCTTCGCGCGGCAAGGGTGTTCGTTTCGGCGATCAAGATACGAGAGAGAAAGAAAGAAAGTGAATACCTCTTCGTGTTGTTGAGAAACCGACGAAAAGGCGCGCCTTGTCGTCGTCCCGACGACAATGTCGTTTTATTTTCGCGACTCGCCGAGATTCGCGGACCGACTGCGCGGCATGCCCGACGACGAGCTGCTGCGGGAGGTCAAGCAGAGGTTCAACGAGGACGACGAGGACGCGTTCTTGGAATCTGGCAGGCGCACCAGAGGTGACTCCTTCGATCGGCCTTTCCCGCATTTTCCGAGAGTGAGTAGAAAATTGATTCCAAACCGTTTTCCCTCTTCTCACGCGCGTGCGTGTTTGGAATCCACGATCGCGTTCGAATAATATTCTTCGCCAATGCCAAGGCGCTCTCGTCCACCCTTTTATTTTCCCCTTTTCTTTTTTTTTCTCGATCGAATGAAGCGAATCGAAATATTGTAACGCGTTTCATGCTTTTATTCTTATACTCTTCATGGTTAAACAAATATGTGTGTGTGTGTGTGTCCCCCCCCTCTTAAAAGAGGGGAATAGTTTTTAGAGTTAATATTTATATTAGAGCGAGATATAAACATTGATGCACACACACACACACAAGTACGTGAGAATGTTGTCGGTTACGTTTGCAATGCCGTGTTTGCGCGCGAGATTCGAATCGGAGCGACTTGGCGCGCGTGCCGAATTTTTTTATATATTATATTTATAGCACCGTCCTAAAATCGCTGCTACCGACCATCGTGTCTCGGTGGCAACGAGAGACGATCTTCGTCGCGCATCGCTTTTTCTCCCATTATTCTCGTCGTTGCGATATTTTCACATCATAAAAAGAGTACCCGCGATACTCTTGGATGTTTTCGCGAGCGGAGATACAGATCGCGTAAATGTGTCGTTATAAAAGAGGTAAATATCGATACGCGAAAATTAAGATACGTAATGGCGCTGTCATCGTGACAGATATATACATATACGCTCCAATATCTCGTCACTCGAAGGCACTTTCAGCGATGGTCGTTGTCTCTAGAGAAAGATCACTCGATTATTATCGGGACGATTAAAGAGCTCGCCTTTCTTTCTCTTTCTTACTATATGTGATGAGGAAAGAAACAAATTTCTGCTTTTATCGTGAATGTCACCGCGACGGAAATATACTGATTGTAGATACGCTTTTCAGACACTCCCTAACTTCAATATCCCGCGAAAGGACCTTTTATCGTCGTTCGTGAATAGATCTGAGATACGAAATAGCGTCCTATCAAACTGAACCCTCCGAGGGTAGGCCACCCCTATCGATCTCGGTTTGCCGAGAGAAACGACATATTTCTGACCCTTCCGCGTGTGTGCACGTGTACATTTCCCTTGATGCCGAGAGATGCATCGCGTTGCGTCAAAATTGTATTACAAAAATTGTAAGCATTATAAAAAACGGCTTTATATGCTACTTTCTCGAAAGTAGTTGATCGATTCGATTTCTCTTTTTTTATTTTTAAATATGTTTTTTATCTCGCTTTTCATATTTCTCGCCGCAATAATTCGCCGAAAACCGGCCGCTCGATCAAATTCTGTAAAAGAAACCCGGTGACGCGATCGATAACGTTCCGGGCAAAACGATCTTCGCGACACGAGGTATGCTAATTGGCGCTTTGACAATGCGGAACAGGTGATTCGGTTATATGTACGGTAATAGTCTATAGGAGAGAAAGAAAGAGAAAGAGAGAGAGAGAGAGAAATAAGTGTGCCTATTACGTAAAGGAAATTGTTGTATCGTCAGTATGTATGTATATATGCTTCGAGTAACTCTCTTCTCGTCGCGTCATCTCCCCTTTAAGTCTTTCTCTTATCCTATCCCGGAAGGAAGTATATTACGCTCGACACGAATGATTCATCTAATATTTGAAGATGCGCAAAGTATTTACATATAAAAAAATTTTCGAAAATTCCTCGAGACGAATTGTAAAATATGGGAAGAATATGTATTCTTTAATTTCTCTCTCGTGTATCTTTAAAAACGGCAAAGGTATTTTAGATTCAAACGTTAGAAATGATTCGACATGAAATTTCTTATCGTTGAAAATATTGCAGAATAAAGAGATGAATTCACAATGATAAAGAAAAAATATAGAATAAAATATTAGTTTTTTTCGGCGAGGACTCTTGTCTTGTGTTTAGGCCGTCGTAGCCGGCATTTCAGAGAAAACGTTTTCTTCTCGGCACGTCGAAAGTTTCGTTGTTGCGAGGCCGTGCCCGCAGTTAAGCCGCCCGGCGATATTCCGCCGGGAGAATTTCCGCGCGGCGTACAAGTTAAGCGAAACTTCTTGCTTTCGTTATCGGGGAGAGAGTACAGTAACCCGGTGACACGGGGGAAATCCTGCGTGGCAGGCTGCCGTCGCGAATTCCAGGCGGAGGCATAAAACCACCCTGTTTCTTGTGAGCTATTGTCAAAAAAAATTTTTTTTTTTTTTTTTTTTTTTTTTTTTTTTCGGTAAGGTCGAATCTAAAAGTTGTAAGAAACATGGTTTTCATGATCTTACGGCCTGCAATAAAGTGCGTCGTCGCGGATCTACGCACAGCTGTATGTACGGTTGGCAATAGAGAGTTGTATTTACACACGTTAGCGTTATTTATACACGTTTAACGTATTAAACTTTGCCTTTGTTACACAACGTGTCTTGCATAACAAAAGAGTAACGATTGTCACTCGCTCTTTCAAACAGTTTAGCTTCACAATTCGATAATTCGTAATAAGACTATCATCTCATAGAAATGGCTTAAGGTTATATATGTGTCATATTTCAAAAGTAATGGAAAAATTATGAAAAAATACATATCCTTCCATATTGCGTTTAAAAATGACAGTAAAAATTTCACGTTGATTTGCAACGTGGATTAAAAGTTATTTCAACGACAAATAGAAATTTTTATACATATTATAGATACGCTCTTATTCATTACATTGTTGATATTTTATATTCAATATGGACATTGCAATCATTGCAATTTTGCTATTTTATTAGTGATATGGTCTAAAAGAAAAATATTGCCATTCCAATCGCGATGTGTATAGTTTCGCATTTATTTATCTAAAATTTCGTTTCTGTCATAAACATTTGGAAAGAAGACCATTGTATACAAACAATCGTTTCGACGAGAATCGCTCGATTTTGCAGTACTCGGTACTCGGCTAGAGATTCGATTTCTTAATGGATGAAGACGAAGCATTAAGCGAATTTCACGCTACGGCTACGTGCTTCTCCCCCTTCTCTCCTCCGAATGAATGGTCTTTCGTGGCGGACTCGTGCCACCTCCTCGCGGCTCGTGCTCTCCTGATACCGCTATCGATCACCGTAGATCATCGATCGTCATTATCGATGATCTCGCGAACGATCTCAGCGAACGAGCTCAGCGCGCGACGCCTTTCGAGATACGGACGTTCGACGTATATCCGGTGGTCTTTTAAAAAATGAAAACCGCCGTTTATTATGCGATCGCGATACGTTATGTCATTTTTTCGCGATTGATATACAACATGAACGCCATTTAGGGTCACGTAGTGAATCTGTGAGTCGCGCCGCGTCATTTTCGCCGAACTCGTTATCCCGTGCATAACATTGCGATTCATTCATCGCTATATATTTCGCTCTCTAGTCTCTTTTCCTTAATCGGACGTCTATTTTTCTCTGAAAGATATCGAACTCTGCTCGATATTTTCGCGTTACTCGCAACGCGTCTTACGCGGAATATTCAAGTGCAAAAAAAAAAAAGTCCCTTCTGTCTAAAAATGTAGGTCACGTCTTTCCTTCCCTCCCTGCCTCTCTCTTTCGATTGTTCGAGAAGGATCTGTTCGTTTCACCAGCTTATCTATCTACCGGCATTCATATTTCTCCTATGTTTTTCGGAATAAAGAAAATTCGTATTGACGCTTCGATAAGAACACGAGACGAACAATATGCAACAATTAAAAAACGAACGAACCCGTTCTCGTCGTCGGATTTATAGCGTTTTCTCGATAGATAGAGTGTGAGAGAGTGAGAGAGAGAGAGAGATTAAACGCGAGAAGATTCTAGCAAATTCTCGCGACCGCCTCCGCTCGCTGTGGCGATCACGTGGTCACGCGACCCACACGTAATCGCGCATTTAAGTTGCCCGCCACAGCCCGCGCCTAACGTCAGTCTCGCTGTCGTCCGCGTCCGCGACGGTTCGTTTGTGCGCGCGCGCTAAAACGCAACACGTGCGTCGTACGCATGTTTTTCTTCCTCGCGAGAGAAAAAGAGAAACAAGTTGACCTTGAAAAAGTACACCAGTGACGGCGAGTGAGGAAGAGACGCAACGAAGTGTATAGTGGCTCGTCGCTTATGTAATCGCGACCGGAGGCAGAAGCGCGCGAGGAGGAAACGAGGAAAAGTCAAAAGAGAGAGAGAGAGAGAGAGAAAGAAAAGAACGACTCGTGAGTGTCATTGCGAGCAAGAGAGAGAGAGAGAGAGCGTGTGTTGTGTGATGTATGTATGTGTGTGTGTGTGAGAGAGAGAGAGAGATCTATAGATCGCGAGATTTCGAGAAGAATCTCGCGAGAGCTTTTTTCTCGACGTCTTTCAATCGCGCTTTCGAGAGTCGCGCGTGCACACTCGTACGGTAAGAGTTGCGAAATTTATACCCCGATATCCGGAGAAAAAGAAAGGAAAGAAAAAAAATTAGCTGTTATACACTGAGAGAGAGAGAGAGAGAGAGAGAGTTCGTGTCGCGTATCCAAAAACGGACGCGGGCTCAAAAACAGGTCCAGAAAATGGACTCGCCTGTCATCGTGGACGCAGCATCCAAATTCGGACGAGAGATCGATCTGGACCGCTCGTTCCCCGTAAGTGACGTTACATCCACTTTTTTTTTTTCTCTTATTTTCTTTCTCGCGCGATCGGGAACGACGAGAGAAGACGAGGAAGCGTGACGCGGATTCGTGCCTCGGTACATCTTTATTCCGAGAATACATAACCTCCTCGCGAAGCTGACATTCGAGTTTTTTCGTTGAGAAAAATTTCGTTCGATAACCGGTTAATCGCTGGCAAGTAGAAAAAATATTTCGCTACGTGTAGTTGATGACGCGCCACGAACGATTAACTCGGCATCGCCACTCAAATCCGTCACTCATCCCGATTATAAAATGATATCGATCGTCTCCTTTCTGGGAAGACAATCCGGACCTTTTGGAATCGGAGACGCGCACGAGATATTTCCATACGTTTTGCGTTTTATTCCGCTCTCGCTAACGTCCTCCTGCTCCTCCCGTCGAGGATTATATGTATGTCTCTCACCCCCCTCTCTCTCTCTCGCTCTCTCGCTCTCTTTCTCTCTCTGCCTGCTCCTCGCATTCCGCAACGAGATCGCGTGGAAATCAGAAATAGCATTTACGTGGAACTCGCCGTATTTTTCACGGTGATAAAACGCGCAGTTCGAAAAAAATGAAGATATTACTGCGGCTCGATTTTTTATTCTTCGAGAGAGGCTCGGAAAAGTTTAGATTATTGTCTTATCGAGATACCACCGTCGTAATAATTATCTGGATAAATTAACAATTAACATATATCGAACATTATGAAATCACGCGCATATGGGAGAAAAAAAAAAAAGACCGACACGAGGAATTATCGCGAATAATCGCGCGCCCGCGACCGACCGCCAAAAGTACCGAGTGACCGTGACGTCACGAACCCATTTGGACGCTTCGTAATTATTATCGCGATCGATAACCGCTATACGCGATACGACATACGACGTATGTTACGTTGCGAGAGGTGCGGCAATTTCATGACGTCATTTTGGCGCGTTATCGAATATATACGGTACCCTATGGAGAGGCTCGATCGCGCTCCAGATCGCGATTTCGTGCATTTCGAGGAAACGAACAGGGGGATTACTTTATACGTGGCAACGTTCTTCCGCACGTTGAGGATGACGTTTATGCCGCGGCGGTTCTGGAACGCGTGACGAACGGCTCGCGTGGGCGTATTTGCGCGTGCTCCAACGAGACGAAGACGGGAATAAGGAGGGAACGGGACCGAGCACAATCCTCGTCCTCGTCGTCGTCGTTGTCGTCGTCGTCGTCGTCGTCGTCGTCGTCGTTCCCCCACCTTCCCCTCTTCTCCCCCTCTTCTTTCACGTATGAAATCATCCGGTGCAAATAGTTTTTCCAGAAAAAAAAAAAAAAGATTTTTTTTTTTCTTTTAATCTCGAACATTCTTCGACATTTCCGAGAGTCTCATTTACTTGGGTGCGTGTATATGTATATATGTTGCGTGACATTTGTCAATATTCAAATTTGCAGATTGACGATATAACGCGAATTTCTTGATATGATTTCTTGATATTCGCGACTCTATATTTTGCCGATAATATATTATATTTCTGATTTTATTCATTTAACGCGCTCATTACAGAGCACAAATATATAGAAATCTGTAGGAAATTTATAGCAATTATATTACTGGTAAAAAATGGAAAGCTCGCGAATAAAAATTTCACAATTCTATAAAATTTATTCCTCTGGGAAAAAATAAAAGATGCGGGAAAAAAAAAATACTTATATAAAACATTAATGTCCATTCGTAAATGTCATTACGATTATTTTGATTAATAAGAATGTTTTCTCGAAAATTATAAAAATATCTTTTCCCGATTTTATTATGAGAGAGTTTCTTGCAACGATTTTTATTATGTACATATATGATGAATGAATGAATGAATGAAACGGTAATTTTTGTTCACATTGACAAAGTGTAACATATTTTATGCGTGTCTCGTTTATCGTCGTGTCGCGCACTTTCTCCTTCAATGTTATTTTGAAAATCTAGATTAGGGAGAGAAGAGTTTTTGAAATATATTGTAGCTTCGAATAAAGATATGAATCTTTAGCTTGTCAAACGGAGCAACGATGAATAAAATTTTCAGACCTACGCAGAATTAAAATCTGAAAAATCACTAAATAGCGTTATTTATGTATTGTAAAGTCACAAATTTCCGCAGGTGACAGATGAAAAGAGTCAACGCGGCAACGGCGGTGCGTTTGTGAATTTTGTGAGCGCTGGCCAGGGAGCCCGGCAACGTCGTGCCGAAAATAGGAAAATCCGATTATCGGGCGTAGGTGCGCGTATATAAAGCGCACGTTTCCCGTTCTCTTCTCTACCTACTCTATTTTTTTCTCACGACTGTGACTTTCTTATAATGTCCATCCGCCGTTCCGCTAAGTGGAACGACGACGTGACCTCAATTCGTCGCAGAAGGAGGAGAAGGTGGAGGATTCGTCACCTCGTGCCCGATTACGCGCAATTTCCCCTTGGCAAATTCGCCCTTGTTCGCGCTTGCTTGCTAGACGGATCGAAGAATACGATTGAATGTCACGCGTAATTACCGTCATTAATGCTCAGTGCGTCTGAATGTAGTGAAAGCTGGGGTACACGTGATGTCCGGCAGTTGTACGTGTCAAGCTGAGTGTGATAATATATAAACTACGAAAATATTTATTTTTACACGCTTTATACTGTCCTCTTTTTTTTATATATTAAAAAAATTTATATAATTTTTGTGAAACATTTGTTTACTTTCTAGTATTGCTTTATACCAGTAATTATACGTCAATACTAACTTTACACGATCTTTATTCTTGCAGGGTTTCCCGTTCGACGACGAGGCCGACGTCTTTGATCGTCCGCGAGGCGACAGCATCCGCGCGCACCTGGACAATCTCGCGGCGCGCCATCCCGACCTCGCCGAGCATTTACGCGGTCCGCCCTGGCCGTTCGGCGGTTCTCTTTTACGCGACCGTCGCCATCGACGCCGCGGCTCGGGTGGTAGCAGCAACGACGGACAACATCAGCAACCGAGTCAGCAGCATCAAGTGGACGAGGACGCGCGTAGCCAAGCGAGCGGTAGCAGTGCCGCGAGTGGAGCGAGCGCCGTCAGCTCGCACAGCGGCGGCGAAGCGGACCTGACGTCGTCATCCGCGATACCGCAATACGGTCTGCGCAACACGGTGGACATAGGCCAGCAGCAGCGGCGCCGCAATATGGAAATAAGTCCGGAGACGAGCGAGCGCGGTCAGCGTTCGATGTCGGCGCCGCCGGAAAATCGGCAGCAACAACAACAACATGGCCAAGATCAGCAGCAACAACCGCTACCCAGCCAAGGACAGAGATTCGTGTCCCGAGTAGACATCACACCGCAGCACAATCAACAGCAGCGCGCCCAGTCGCCCAGCAAACCATCGAGCAACGTTCGGCACATTCCCATATTCGTGGAGGGCCGCGACGAACCTGTGATGTCGAAGTTTGCGACCGACGATATACCGCCGTCCGCGTTGCCTCATCATCACCAGCGGCAACCGTCGCCGCCGCACTTTCACAGACCATCACACTTTAATGAACACTTTGGCAGACAACAGTGGCCGCCGTCGCATTTTCAAAACACATTTTACGATCCGGACTTTGAGCAACCGCAAATGCGAAAGCATCAGCAACAATATCAACAATCCCATCAGCAGCAGCCGCAATATCAGCAACAGCAACCGCAGCACCATCAACAGCAGCCGCAGCCGCAGCACCATCAACCACAGCCGCAGCACCATCAACAGCAGCCACAGCCGCAGCACCATCAACAGCAGCAGCAGGCTCAACAGCCACAACATCAGCAGCAACAACAACAGCAAGAAATACCGAAGCCTAAACCGCCGGTCCCAAAGGATCCTCTGGAGAAAGTCGCCCAGGTACAGAAAGAAGTGGATAATCTAGCAGAGCAGGTGCGACGTTACGTCGGCGGCTCTCGGCAAGACAAGGAGTACATTTACCTGGATGAGATGCTGACGCGCGAACTACTCAAGCTGGATGACATCGAGACGGAAGGCCGGGAAAATGTGCGGCAGGCACGTAAGAACACCATTAAAAGCATACAGGACACTATCAGCTTCCTGGAAACGAAAGCACCATTCGCCGGCCAGCAGGAGCAACAATCCGTTATGCAAGAGGGAGAAGAGTGCTCCGAGGAAAAGGATCAGCAGG